GCAATAAAATGCACGTTAGGAACTCGATTAGTACGTTTCATAAAATGAATTGAAATCTAAATCACAGAAACACGGGTGTTAAAGTAGAGCGATAAGGTAAACACGCCTACATGGTGTCGCTACAAAATAACGGTACTATTAGATGTCGCATTAAAATTAATATACTTTTCGTTTTAGTTTTCAGGTCGCCTAGAAAAAATCTGTTCAACGCCCACTTTGGAAGATGCTACGAAACGTGTTTCTATTGCCGTCAGTTTTTTCTTACAAAGTCACAGTGTCTGTACCATTTTAATGTTGTTCATTATGTGAAGAAAGTTATAAAAGTTTATGACCGAAAATATAGACAACATAAACATTTGCAGGGTAAAAATAGTAATGAAAAGCTGTTGCAGTGTGAAATTTGTTCTAAAACATTTTCAACCGAAAGAAATTTAAATAATCATTTAAAAGTACATACTCGTAAAAACTTTTTCAAATGTGAATTATGTTTGAAACCGTTTAGCAAAAAAAGCAATTTAAAATGCCATTTAAGAATACACATAGGAGAAAAACCGTTCAAATGTGAAATATGTTCGAAACAGTTTACAGAGAAAGGCAGTTTAAAGTTGCATTTAAGAATTCACACTAGAGAAAATTTGTTCGAATGTGAAATATGTTCGAAACAGTTTATCCAGAAAAGCAATTTAAAAAGACATTTAAAAATTCACATGAGAGAAAAATTGTTGGAATGTGAAATATGTTCGAAAAAGTTCACCCAAACATACATTTTAAAAAAGCACTTAAAAATTCACACAGGAGAAAAACCGTTCGAATGTGAAATATGTTCGAAAAAGTTCACCCAAACATACAGTTTAAAAAAGCACTTAAACATTCACACAGGAGAAAAACCGTTCAAATGTGAAAAATGTTTAAAACAGTTTACAGAGAAAGGCAATTTAAAGTTTCATTTAAGAATTCACACTAGAGAAAAATCGTTCGAATGTGAAATATGTTCGAAACAGTTTATTCAGAAAAACAGTTTAAATATCCATTTAAGAATTCACACTGGAGAAAAACCGTTCAAATGTGAAATATGTTTGAAAAAGTTTACCCTAACATCCAGTTTAAAAAAGCACTTAAAAATTCACACAGGAGTAAAATCGTTCAAATGTGAAATATGTTCGAAACAGTTTATCTGGAAAAACGATTTAAAAAGACATTTAAAAATTCACTTAAGAGAAAAACCGTTCAAATGTGAAATATGTTCGAAAAAGTTTACCCAAACATCCAATTTAAAAAGGCACTTAAAAATTCACACAGGAGAAAAATCGTTCAAATGTGAAATATGTTCGAAAAAGTTTACAGAGAAAGGCAGTTTAAAGTTGCATTTAAAAATTCACACAGCAGAAAAATCGTTCAAATGCGAAATATGTTCGAAACAGTTTATCCGGAAAGACGAGTTAAAAAGCCATTTAAAAATTCACTTAAAAGAAAAACCGTTCAAATGTGAAATATGTTCGAAAAAATTTACCGAAACATCCAGTTTAAAAAGGCACCTAAAAATTCACGAAGGAGAAAAATCGTTCAAATGTGAAATATGTTCGAAACAGTTTATCCGGAAAGACGAGTTAAAAAGCCATTTAAAAATTCACTTAAAGGAAAAACCGTTCAAATGTGAAATATGTTCGAAACAGTTTATCCGGAAAGACGAGTTAAGAAGCCATTTAAAAATTCACTTAAAAGAAAAACCGTTCAAATGTGAAATATGTTCAAAACAGTTTACAGAGAAAGACAGTTTAAAGTTGCATTTAAGAATTCACACTAGAGAAAAATCGTTCAAATGTAAAAAATAGGTGCGAAATAGTTTATCCAGAAAGGCGATTTAAATAAGTACTTAAAAGTTCACAAAATAGAAAAAACCGTTCGTGTGAAAATGTCCCGTAGGGTTTGGTCGTAAACACCATTTAGAATCGCACTGAAAAATGGACATCAAATAAAGACCGTTCAAGTAAAAAGTGAATCGGTCATTTGAGAAACAGCACATTTCATTTGTAGATCATTTTCCAAAAAATACGAAAGACTAAATCTCAAACCATGGTTAAAAAATAATTTTAAACACTCACCGTTTAAAAGCCGAAAAACAAACAAGAATCTGCTTCAACAAACAATGACATAGTAAAAAATATTAATCCCGTTTCTTCAAATGTATGTCTTTCAGAAGTAGTTCACACTGGAAATGGCGGACTCGTGGTGAGCTGTGAGAATTCAGCAGATTCCAATAAATTCAAAAAGTTGAATGATGCTAATAATTACACCATTAAGGAAGTGCCAGTTTTAAATCCTTAACTGTATCAAAATTCAAAATAAAAATGAAATAGTTGGTGATCTAACAGTTATTTCCCATTTTCCACTTAAGAAAAACAACAAATTTCATCAAGCAGTTATTCAGTGCGATATATTTACCTATAAAAATGTAATGTAGGAAATAATTAAGGAAAATCAGACTATTATTAAAGATGCAACCTTAAAAGATACCACCGAAAAGAAAGAAAAAAAACAAATTATTGAAAAATCAACAAGTGAAACTCCTTAGAAGAACACAATAGTTAATACCAGATTTTAAAATCTAAACGGACTAATTTCTTGTTGAATTGTATAAAATGTCTTTATCTATTTCATTAATATAAAAATACTTACTTGTTCGTGCCTATTTTCGGTGTTTTATATATTTCAGGTTTTTAATACATAATTGTTTATTTGATTAAATAGTATTCTGTTATTATAAATAATTGTCGGATAATGGGTATTTAAAACGAAATTTTTAATATTAAAGAATTTTTAGAAGTACTTAGAATAGTTTATTATTAATTAGCTTCTTTTGTATTAGTATACTTATTTGACAAACAGGCGCAAAAATGAATCCATATATTCGAGATGTACATTACACTCCTGTAAATACATTAGAAATTAATGTGGATCAATTAAATGCAATTATGAGCCAACATGATAATAAAAAAAAGTTTCATTTTAGTTTATTTCATCAAAACATGGGTAAGAGTATTAGTAAAAATTTAGACGAATTAAAACCAAATCTCCTTCAACAGATTGCATATGTCTGACTGAAACTTTAAAAATTCCAACAACTTTGCTGTTCACTCTACCCGGATATGATATTTTATACAGTGAGGGTGATTTAAATAGGAATGATGGAGTTGTTGTATATATCAAGAAAACGTTGAAGTACTCATGGAAAATTGTTCCCATCAACATATTTAAAGCACCACAAATTGAAATAATTGATGAATACAACAACTCCACATTGGTGACTGTCTTGTATATAACCCCATCGACGAATGAAACCATATTCATTGAAGGATTGAGAAATTACTTAAGAGCAAACCGAACACCTTAAAAAATTTAAAAAGCATTTTACGACTTACAAAAGCCACACAAATAAAAATTATTATTGTTATTATTATTAAGACATAAATCTTTTTCTCCAATTTAGAACTATTTTTAAACAACAGTGATAAAAAGGTTCAAAAACGTGTTTTTGTAGGTCTGTAGTATCGAAAGTATTCATTTTAGATCATATAAGTAGTGCAAAATATAAAACACTTATTTTTTTAAATATAATCTATGTCATAAAATATAGGACATTCCATAGGAAAAAAGGTAAAAGGTAAAAAGAATTTTTAAAAAGTAGCATAGCGTTATGGAGATACGCATACGAAATTTGAAAATACCTATTTACTTTTTGTCATTAGGTGACGTTCTAAGTGACTCTCTTTGTATAAACCACTTATAAATATGAGGGTTTCAAAAAGATTATTGTGTATATCGCAAATGTTTAAGTAATGTAATAGAATAGATTACAATATAGTTTGATATTATTCTTGATATGTATGCAAAATTTTATCCTGTGGGTTATTGTGAATTTTCAATCCTCTGGGAAACCTCGGATCTACTAACTCCGGAAGTAAGCAATTAAAAAAATATATTTCCATTTTTCAATCATCTGGTTAACCCAAAAAGTTACATCTCGTGGAATCTAAAACATTAAATATTAATGAAATAAATTTGGCTTTAATCACCCTACATCATTATAGGTATGTACTAACCTAGGGATTTTTATCAAGGGTAATATACCAAGACCTTTATACATAGTTAGCTGTTTTTGTTGCGTCTCTATCTCGAGAATATTTTAATGACAATTTGATGAGACATAATTTTTTATTTTATTAGACCAAATATTGTGTATTTCTCTAGAGAAATAGTCGATGATATTTGGTCTAGGGAGCTAGTCAAGGGTAATATAACGATACCTTGATAAATAGTCGACTATTTTTATTGTATCTAAAATTTGAGTGTTTTTGACACCAATTTGTCGAGACATTTTGTCATTAATAATCTGAATAGAGTCCGAGAGCTTTAGCGCCCAACTGGGCAGTATTGCGGATTTTAAGTATTTGTAATCAACCACTTACTATCTGCACATTTTTTGTGTCCTTCTTGGCAAATTTTCGTAAAAATATAATTATATTCTAACCTGCCTGTATCTTTACCATCTTCAGAGGTTTCAAATTTAAAATATTCTGTTAAACATGTTGCGCCTTCCCCACCGCGCCAAGCTAATTCCTCGGAAGTCAAATAATAGAATAGTATATTACACACCGAGGTGGGAAGAGGTTAGCTATGATCTCGAGACAGGAATGAAACTTCCTACCGAGGTTTGTATACTATTTTATTTACAACCATCATATTTCGATCAAAGTTAATAAATCTCTGTTTCGTTCTGAACATACCTAAAATATTACATTTAATGACAAATTACCAAGCGCGCGGTTTTCTCAGAATAATCAAGTAAATATATTGTTACTGTGATTACGGGGTAAACAACTGTCACCAATATAAATAAATGTCAGATAAAGCCGGATATTAAATTCGCAAATAATAAATAGCAATAAGTAGTTTGTTGTATTTTAGTTCATTGTTGTTTTTTATTGTTTGCCATTAAATAGGTATTATAAAATTTGTCAAAAAAATGTGTTATTTTTTTTAAATATAAAAAATATTCATCTAGAATAGATGAAATTAGGGCGGGAAGTAGAGGTGTGTAATGTGACACTTCCCAACCTTCAATGTCGTTAGTAATGACATTACATATATGGTTGTAAATAAAATCTTTTGGAGACAGTCTGGAGTTTGTTCATCCAATTTGTCAATAATATCGTGTATATGTTTTAAACTTAGAGCTGTAGAACTTTGTTTCCTTTTCTCTGAAAAATTCTGCAATTCTCGTCTTTTTGCATTTTGTGCATCGGGAGCACTTTTAAATTCAATACCTTGAAATAGATCTATCTTCATATTAAATTTTTTAAGATATATTTCTTGTAACGTCTTAGCAGTTGAGTTCCACATATACTTTAAAGAATACTCTTTGTAGTCGCTTCCGTCTTCTTTTTTCATGTTACCAGCCCAATCTTTTAAGATATTACATAGTTCAGCAACAGTTTTATCATTTGATAAAACATATTTGCGCTGGACGCAAAATTTCATAAACTGATTCCATACACTATTTCTACTTTTGATTGTATTCTTCGGGGTAATATTGTCTATAAAACAGTCTATTTCTTCGTTATTAACACACCCAAATCGGTTCATTTTAAACGTTTCACTAATATTTTAATTTTTAGTCTGACACTTAATATTATTTGACAGTAACCATTTTTAATGTTACACCTACAATCAAGTATGCGAGTTGCTGTCAACATAGGTGAATATCGAGCACCATGCATGTATAGTCAATTTCAAATAGTCAGTGAAAATAGTTGATTTATTTGTTTCTGATTGGTTCTAACGATAACGTAAATTACGATGTGATTGGTTAAAATTTCAAATCTGACAGGCGAGGGAAATAATCATTATTGCTCTAGATTCAAGAAATGGGATAAATAACGACAATAATTACCTTTTCTATCAGAAGACCTTTTAAACTCCATATTACGAAATAACAAAAATCTTTATCCGCCACTTCAAGCTGTCCCTGAACTTGATAGTAATATATATGTTTTTTGTTATAATTGCTTAGATGTTAAAATAAAAACTGTGGATAACTTAAATATACGGATACTGAAATTTATTTATAATTGATTTCTTATTTCATTATGTTATAACGTAACAATATTAATAAATATGTTGGTTCTTCTGAGGTGGTATTTTAAATATTTTGCCGTGGTATATCTCAACGAATATAAAACATATTTTAAGGGTTTGCGATAATTATGTATTTTAAGGAGTTGCATAATACAATTTCTTCGATAAAACAAATTGTATTTGGGAACACGTAATAATAAAGTATAATTTGTTACAACTTAGAAAAATGGAACATGATTTCAAAAGTCACGTATATCATAAGAATGGACTTTTACAAGCGTGTAACCAGATTTAATGCCACTTAGATGTATACTTGAATTAAAATATTTAGTTAGAATCAAATTAAAAATTAATGAGTAAACTTAAAAAAAATGAATTTAAATTGACGGATAGATAAAAAAATTAATTGAATGAAGTTGAATATGTATTTAATAGGTATAATAGTCTCGACCATTGGCATTCTAATACGGTACTTCCCTTTCGTATGTCGTGGATAATCCGCCTTTACTTAGATACTTGGAGCTCGGAACTTTGAGAAACTACGTAACTCTGAGCTTCTTGGAGAAACTACGTAACTAGAACTTGGAGTTTGAATCTTGTAGTTTCTTGGAGCTTAAAGCTTCTAGGACCTTTTTGGAGCCACTACATGTTTAGAAATAAAAAGAACCTCAGTAACAGTAAAAGTACATACACATGCTAGTTTAGAAATCTAACGGACATATGCATAAATGGGACTAATATTAAAGTTGTATCATTTGAACAGAATATAAAATAAAGCCAAAATAAGTTAAGAGCCATAGATTTCCGTTTAAACGGTATTTCCAGACTGACTTATAATTCAATTATTTAGTTGTCTACCCGCGTATATATCAAAGTATCAAAGAAAGCTTAAAAATATTATTAGTTAGGATAGCTATAATTTATATAAAATACAACAAATAACCGGCATGATGGTAATAAAAAAGCAAATGGCCAATCCTTTCAGTTTTCCAACGAAATCCAATGTTAAAATATAAGGTAAAAGAAACATTACCTGACAATTATCCCAACGTTAATATACAATAAACACAGATAAAGGAAGATAACTACGGAAATCTACTTATAGTAGCTAATTATTTATCGGTACAAACTACCACATTGGACTCAATAAACCAAAAGGACGATTGAATCCACACGAATCGGTTTTATCTCGGCGTGGTTGTTCAAAGAAACACGGTACTTGCGCAAACCGTACTTTGCGAATTTCGAGAAGGAAGCGAGCGGTGGTCGTTTAAGTTGTGTTACGAGGGGTTATGGAGAAGTTGTTAAAAAATTAAAATTAATTTCACGTAACAAGTGATAACAGAAACTTGTCGATAAAATTTTTCGGATTTGCTGGCAGATTGATGTAAATTTTAAAATGTTATTAAGGTTTATTATAACTTACAGCTTCTGCCCTTGTACTATTTTCACTAAGGCAATAAAATGCACGTTAGGAACTCGATTACTAAGTTTCATAAAATTAATTGAAATATAAACCACAGAAACACGGGTGTTAATGTAGAGCGATAAGGTAAACACGTCTACACAGTGTCGCGACCAAATAACGGTACTATTAGATGTCGCATTAAAATTAACATACTTTTCGTTTTAGTTTACAGGTTGCATAGAAAAAATCTGTTCAACGCCCACTTTGGAAGATGCTACGAAACTTGTTTCTATTGCGGCCAGTTTTTTCTTACAAAGTCACAGTGTCTGTACCATTTTAATGTTGTTCATTGTGTGAAGAAAGTTATAAAAGTTTATGACCCAAAATATGGACAACATAAAAATTTTCGGGGTAAAAATGGTTTACATCCCATAGTCGAACATTCACCTGCAGCAAATACTATATTCCACTGCAATGAAAAACTGTTGCAGTGTGAAATTTGTTCTAAAACATTTCCAACCGAAAGAATTTTAAATAATCATTTGAAAGTACATACTCGTAAAAACTTTTTCAAATGTGAAATATGTTCAAAACAGTTTATCCAGAAAAGCAATTTAAAAAGCCATTCAAAAATTCACATGAGAGAAAAACCGTTCAAATGTGAAATATGTTCGAAACAATTTGTACAGAAGGGCCAATTAATGGTGCATTTAAGAATTCACACTGGAGAAAAACCGTTTAAATGTGAAATATGTTCGAAACAGTTTACACAAACATCCGGTTTAAAAAATCATTTAAAAATTCACACTGGAGAGAAACCGTTTAAATGTGAAATGTGTTCGAAAAAGTTTACCCAAACATCCAATTTAAAAAAGCACTTAAAAGGTCACACAGGAGAAAAATCGTTCAAATGTGAAATATGTTCAAAACAGTTTACACAGAAAGGTACTTTAAAGTTGCATTTAAATATTCACTCTGGAGAAAAACCGTTCAATTGTGAAATATGTTCAAAACAGTTTATCCGGAAAAGCAATTTAAAAAGCCATTTAAAAATTCACATGAGAGAAAAACCGTTCAAATGTGAAATATGTTCGAAACAATTTTTACAGAAGGGCCAATTAATGGTGCATTTAAGAAATCATACTGGAGAGAAACTGTTTAAATGTGAAATATGTTCGAAACAGTTTATACGGAAAGACAAATTACAAAGACATTCAAAAATTCACACAGGAAAAAAGTAGATCAAATGTTGAAAGTAGGTACGAAACAGTTTATCCAGAAAGTTGATTTAAGGGGATTCTTACTTTTTTCTGAACGGTGGATTTTTAATTTTCATTTTTATTTGGTAACATGTAGCCAGACCTGGGACCGTTACTAAAAAAAAGTAACGCGTTACTTTATCATTACTTTTGATGCAAAGTAACGCGTTATATAATCGTTACTGTTACTTTTTTAAAAAAAGTAACGAATTATTCGTTACTTTCCAAAAGTAACGCGTTTTTGTAGCTTCGTTACATTTAAAGTAACGCGCTGCTGAAAAAGTAACGAGTGACTGTAAAAGTAACGCGTTACTGTAAAAGTAATGCGTTACTTTTGGAAATAAATTAATAAAAAGTTGGTGTACATTTTTACTATACAGGGTATTTCAGATTTAAACAGACACAGCTTAATGGGAGGTAGAATACACTTAGCTGAGTTCAAAACACTCCCATACTTAGCCTTTAATCTTACTCGTTTCTTAGATATAGGGTGTTTTATGATTTCTTGCCAAAAAAAAATCGGCCATTTTGTTTGAACGGCTAGAGATATTTTAATAAAATTTTACAAAAAAGTTACACTCTCTTAGGTTATTCAAAACCATAATTTAATTTTAAAAAATTCTACGACCGGGCTCTTTTTTATATTCTTCTTAGCTAGAATATCACCCTGTATATAGGATTTTAATAAATGTTACTGGACATTTAAATAGTACATAGATTAATAAATAAAATAATGTAATAATATTTAATGGCGCCATTATGCCTTTCTTACAGTAAAGTTTTATAATGGCGACTACAATATTATAAATCAGTATTTTCAATATTGAAATTGTTGTAATTGTTGTTCAATATATTAATACGCAGTAGATCACTTATATAACGTTTATTTAATAAAGACAATGAATATGCAAACAGTGTTCTAATTATTATTAATACCAGAGACAACCATTCTTTATCATCTACATCAGAGACACAGAACAACCTTCTTCGTCTCTTTTGACATCTGACATTACATTTACCTTAGATCGTCAATAACTAGCCTTGAACTTATTATAAGGTAAAAGGAAAGCATCACTTATGAATAAAATGGGTTTATAACATTATCAAATGTTAATTTTTATTTTTAAAAACGTTATTTGTAAATTTTAAAATTAGTAGTTGTTAACAGTTAATAAACTTATATTTTGTATTATATTTCATTGTTTAATAAAACAGTAGGTATTCTATATTTCCAAGATATATTTGTATCTTAGTTATCAAATATTACCTTTTATTATTAAACATATTTATAAATGTTAAAATTTGTTTATTAAAAGTTAAGAAATGTATAGTTTAATAAACCTTGTGTATGTTTAATATACTTTAATTGTTTTATTAAACACTATTCTTTTTATTTTAGATATCAAATATTAAATGTTATTAAACATATTACTTGTAAATGTTTTGTTTGTTAATAGTTAAAAAATGTATAGTTAAGGACCGATTCCACCGTTGTGTTAAACGAAGTTTAAAATGACATTTTTACATTAACAATGTCATTTTAATCTCCGTTTAACACAACAGTGGGATCGGCCCTTAATAAAGTTTGTGTATGTTTAATATTATACTTTAATTGTTTCATTAAACACTATTCTTTTTATTTTAGATATCAAATATTAAATGTTATTAAACATATTACTTGTAAATGTTTTGTTTGCTAATAGTTAAGAAATGTATAGTTTAATAAACTTTGTGTATGTTTAATATTATACTTTAATTGTTTTATTAAACACTATTCCTTTTATTTTAGATATTAAATGTTTTTATTATACATGATAAAGTAAGGGATAATTAAGCTGAATAAAAGTCATTAAACCACTAAAACTGTGTATATAGTAGGATTACACTATGTAATATTGTATTACGTGGCTACGCGTTACGCGGTCAAGCTAAGACTGCTGCTTTCCTCCGCTGCTCTCCTCCGCAATTGACAGTCGGGTGGTT